TGATCCGCCTGTTTACAGCCTCCCAAGAACTGGGATTACAGGCGCGCAATCACGCTGTCTCAATTGCTGTCTCAGCACATCCCGGGGGCGGGTCTGGCACAGCAAGCCCACAGGGATCAAACTCCTGGGCCCCTGAGACTGCTTGCAGGTACTTTAATCCACTCAGCTATTTGGCAGGCCCTCATCTTGGTCTTCTAAATGTGTACTGTTTCTCATGTCTTATCAATTATTATACTCTCTTTAAAATAAATTAAAACGAAAAAGAAGGAAAAAATTAAGATTTCTTGAAAGCAAGTGCCAATATTCAATTATTTCCCCAATCCTGCATAACTATATCTGTTAATCTAAGCAACAGATTTGACGATAAGAATAGATAATATGCAACCATTGTTAATTAGCTATTCCTGTTTTGAAAATCTGCAACATATGTATTGTATGTGACGCTGTTTGTGTCTTTTTTTGTATTTGTTTTTGCTTCTGTTTTTACTCTTCAAAATAATTAAACTTTTAAAAAATCTTGAAATGTGGCACACATCTGCAACTCCAGCATTCGGCAGGCTAAGGCAGGAGAATTGGTATAAGTTTGTAGGCTGGGCTACAAAGTGAGTTCAAGGCCAGCCTAAACTACACAAAGAGACCCTGTCTCAAAGAAAAGAAAAAATCGTGAAACAAACGCCTTTAAAAATTCAACAGAAGGCTGGCCAGATAGCTCAGCGGATTAAAGCACCTGCTTAGGCAGAGGTAGTGGCTGGGGTTTTGATCCCCAAGCCTGCTGTGCCGGCCCCACCCTCAGGGCATGCTGAGATGGTGGTTGAGACTGAGCATGGTGGCATGCCTATAATTCCAGCACTTGGAAGGCCGTAAACAGGAGGATCACTTTGAGTCCGATCTATGTAGTGAGACCCTGTAAACCCTGTAGACCCTGTACTAAAATACAAAAAAAAAAAAGAAAAAAGAAAAAAAAATCCAAGAGGGCTGGGGAGATAGCTCAAGGGCATAAGTACCTACCTGGCAAGCCCAAGATCCCAAGTTCAATCCCCAGTACTACAAAAATTAATTAATTAATTAAAATAAAAATTAAACAGAGAACAAGTGAGGCTAAAACAAGCAGAAGATCTCAACATGTACCTACCAAAGATGCTCAGGCAGGCAACAAACATGTTAAGGTGCTGCTCACCATGGGCTCTGGGACCTGCAAATCATGGCAGCAACTGAGACACCACTGAGACTCAAAAGGCCCAACCCAGGACACTGAGACTGCTTTGCACAGGGGTCAGCACACACACAAGCCTGCACATGGACATTTCTAACAGTTATATTCAGAATCGGCAGATTTAGAAGCAGCCGAGGTGCCCTGCCAAGGCTGAGCACTGGAGCATCCAGACCGGGGTATCACCAGCACAACAGAGAACAAGCGCCACTCTGTGGCAAGACCTAAAGCTCACATTACTATGAGAAAGAAGCCACGTGGGCTGCCCGCTTCAGAACTGCAAGCACAGGATATCCAGGAAGAAACACAGAGACTGTTTGGAGGCTGATAGGGATCTAGGATAAAGACAGGGGAAGAGCTCTGCAGGGCAGTGAGACACTGCACCCCATGGTGGCTGGTCAAGGATGTTAGGTGCTCAGGCTCATTGCTGTCAGAGGCACCACTGGGTGGAGATGCCAACGCAGAGGCTGGGCGGGGCTTAAAGGGAATCTGTACTTTTCCCCAGCTGTGGTGTGAACCTAAAACTTCTCTACAAAGTTAAGATGAAACCTAACACGAGATAGGATAGCAGGCAATATTGGAAGGACATATGCCGCCAGCAGGGCTAGGGGTCCTGGAGTCGGGCTGGAGAGCCTCCTGTGGGCTGCAGTACCTCAGGTCCCAGGACTCTCTGGTGCACACTGAGTCCCACAGCCTGCTCCTGGACCTGGGAGACCTCAGTGTGCAAAGCAGTCCCGTGCCTGTCCTGCAGCTCAGTGCAGTGGGACAAATGGCAAGCTGGTGACAGTACAGACCTATATGTCTTTACAGACCACAGCTCCAGTATGGGCAGCAGGCTGGGGCACCTCTTTGGCCATGGTACACAGAGCAGTCTGCTTAGCTGAACCTAGAGACACCAGAGGATCCTGGCAGAGCCACTCAGGGCTGAGGGGCCTCCGGAGCAGAAAGCACAGAAGCCAGCCACGGAGTCAATGCAGCCTGGCTGGGACACTGTTTAATGAGGCCCAGTGTGAGGGAGGAGGGATGGGGCCTGAGTTTGGCTTCTGGTAGACATGGGCAGTGGTCCCAAACTATAGGTGAGAAGTGTCACATGCCACTTGGATGTGCCACATGAGGTGGCTCTGCAGTGAGGACTGGAACTGGAGATTTCTGGGCCAGGAGAGGGGAGAGGTACCCAGGATGGTGAGGAGTGAAGATGTCTGGGTGGGTGGAAAGCAAGTAGGTGAGAGATACCTGGACCAGGTGCTGGGTGGGGCAGTGGGCATGGCAGCAAGGGCAGCTGGGACCAAGGGGTTAAATGTAGGGAACAATGGGTAGCTGTGAAATGTCGGGCAGCAGCCATGGCGGGGCAGAGGACACAGATGCAGGGAATATGGGGTTTGGGGAGGGCTCCTGGAGATGATAAGCCCTGTCCCGTGGAAGGGTGCAGCAGGCAGTCACCTATGAGTCATCCTGGACACCTGCAGCCTGAAGGTTCTGCTGCACACTCTGATGGTGGTGTGTGAACCCACAGCCTTTTCATCTGGACTGCAGAGGTTCCCAGATCCAGTCCCACTGCCCACAGCCCCTTCCATCCACACCAATGCTGGCTTCCAACTCCCAGCTGCTCTTCCATTGCCTGGGCTTTGTCCCCTTCTCTGACCACCTCACCTGTGCCTGGCCCTGCCCACCCCTCTCCCAGTTGACTACATGTCCACCCTACCCAGCTGGCTCCAGGGCCCAGCAGACTTTGAGGCCAGGCAAGGTGCTGTTTCTGACTCGTAAGACAGTTCCTGGCACGAGGAAGGATTCAGTCATGGCCAGTCAGTGGCTGCCACCTTACCTTTGGTCTGCAGCAGCCCTCCCTGGACTCCCATCCATGAAGCTCAGGTCTAGGGCCTTCCTGCCTGGACCCAGGTCCAGGAGCATCCACATGGACAGACACCTGCAGGCCTGACTGGGCCAGCCAGAAGCACTGTATGGTCACCATGCTGGGCACAGTGAGAGGCTGGGGGCATAGCTGGGTGTTTTCAGACAGACAAGGTGGTTTCTCCCAAGCCCTGCAGTGCTGGTTAACAGCAGCCATTTCTCAGAGGTTCCCAAAGCATTGCACTTCCTGGACAGTCACCTACCCTCAGCCAGTCACCTGCCCTCAGTGACACTCTAGTGAGACAAGGGGCTGAAACCTAGGCCATGGGTCACTTCCTGTGTGTGGGCACTTCACACTCCCACAGCATTGGAAGTTGCCTGTGCTGTACTGGGACCAGATTTCCTTCCCCCAGCACCCCTGTTGCTTCTGCACAGGGTCCCAACTGGGCACCATTCCCAGGTGGTGAAGGCACACTGGTCACTTCCTAGGTAGGTTCCACCATACTTCCCAGGCCCCTTGAAAGCAGATGCCATCATGTGGCAGTCTGACCACAGTGTGCTGCCATCCTGAACGTGCCAGGGGTGGCCCCAGGAACACACACCTACCAGGGCAACCACACCTGTTCTCCCTACCCTGCAGGGACAAGGTGAAGCCCACAAGGACACATGGAGCCTGGTTCTCTGGTGACTTGGGCCCCGGCCAGTGACTGTGAAACAGGTGGGAAGACTTGCGCAGAGTCGACTTTGGACCTGGTCAAAGGGACAACCAGGAGAGTGGGCAGGTGTAGCCAAGCTCAGCAGACACCAGCAGGGGTTAAGGGAAAGCTTAGGCCGTGCCAACCACACCCCAGGTCAGTCAGAACTCAGCAAAGACCTTGATAGCCCCGACTACCAAAGGGGACCAAGGATAGCTTGGGTGCCTGAGTGGAGTGCACAGGGGCATGCTGCCACATGTATACTCAGTGTGGGAGAAGAGCCACTGTGGGCCACTGGCAGTGCAGGCTGAATACAAAAGACCCAAGGAGACACCCAGGGACAGTGCCCAAGCCCAGCATGCCCAGATGTCCACACATGGGCAGTCACGCATCAGGGAAGCAAAGGACCACAACGTGAAGGCACTGAGGGACAAGGCTGAGTGAAGGGCACAGGAGGGAAAGTGGAGAGTTCCCAGCCTGCAGGCAAGCATATGGACTATGGGCCAGATCTGTACTACAGAACTCCCACATATGAACATACATGCTCATCAACATAGAAGACTGCCAACTTCTGGCAGCCCAGGAGGCTCAACAACCTCTGCTAATGGCCATTTGGACAGCACCAGGTTCTTGCCCAGGGCCAACTGAGGGAGGCCTAGCTCTGATGGGAACCACAGGCCACCAAGAATCAGGGTCCCACGGAAACTGTAAGAACCGGAAACTGTAAAGCTCGGACAGCAGTAGAGCCACCCATCCCACCAAGCCCGAGGGTGGTTTCTCTACCCTGAAGGCTGAGTGCCTTCCCTCTCAGGGCCTGGACTCGGTTCCAGCCAACATCTAACGTGAGTGGAAGAAGAGAACTCCTGAGGACCTGCCAGCACCGCGCTGCAGCGCGCCATCAAGGACATGTCTTTGGTAGCTGCTTCCTGGCCTGCCTATCCAGCAGCCCCACCAGGAGGGAGAAGGTTCCAGAATGGGCAGTGTGTAGATGCTCACATTCCCACCGAGATGTTTTTCCCAGACCAAAACCACATGGAAAGGACACAGTGCACCCCAGTCCCCGTTCCTCCAGCTCTGGAGGCTGTGCAGGCTTCCTCCTGAAGCCACAGTCTAGGAACCACCCAGTGGCTGGGACCAGGCTAAGCGTTAACGATTTCCCCTTTCTCTTGAAAATTAGGAGAACTGAGATTAACTGAAAAGACCTCACTTATAACCCGCTCCCCAGTTTCAGAGGCCTGAAACAGATGTCAAAAGTTTCCAATCTGGAAAGTTTATTCTCCAGGGCTAATGGGACTACCGGCTCCAGAAATTCCCTTGTTTTAATTAGCACATTATTTACTTCATGTTATAGAACTTTCCTTTATCTGTGAACATGGTGCTCCTCATACCCCAATTATCAGACTTGTAACCTTAAAACATTTCTGCATCTAAACTCTGAACCATCAAACCTGAGAGTGAAAATAGTTATTTCTCTACTTGGTTCCTGTCTGGCTCCAACTTCAGTTTGCAGGACACATGGGTGAGGGAAGTCACCCTGCTCCTGTGGCCAAGCAGGGACCACTGCCTGGAGCCCCCCCACCTCATGTGTCAAGGCTCCCTCCTCCAGGAAGGTGCCTAGGACCTGAGCTGATCACACTGTTGCCGAGTGCCCAGCGACACACCAAGGGCACCGCTCCTGGTAGTGGGTAGGTGAGGCCGTTACTTCCGGGTGAGCTCCAGCACGCTCTTCACCATGACTCCAATCCCATCGTGAATATGGTGCAGCTCAGTCTCACACATGAAGGCTGGGGTCGTGACCACCTTGTTTTTCTGGTCCACATGAGCTTCGTGCACCGGGTTAAGGAAAAGCCATCCGTAAGGCCTGATTTAGGAGGGCCTGGGTTCCTACGGGCTGGCAGCCTCCAGTAGGTCAGTCCCTCTGGGAACCACTGCGGACTGCCTTCCTGAGTCTCAGAGCCCCAGGGAGATCCCACCCCCACCCCCAGCAGGCACACACATGCCCCAGCACCAGCTGTTGCCATCCCTCTGGGTCCCAGGTCCTGGATGCCCTTCTAGTGCAGGGATGGTGCCCAGGCTGAAGCGCTGCCACCTGGGTGTGGCAGAGGAGCTCAGCAGATGGGTGCAGGCCCACCACCCCTCACCTACCACACAGGCCCAGCCTCCCTGCCCATCAGCCTTGCCCCCCCACTTCCGCTGACCAGCGAGGTCAGTGTGGAAGCTCCCAGGGAAGGGCCACCCAGCAAGGGTGCCATGGAGGGACACAGGGATGCCCGAGAGTGACTCCCACCGCAAGGATATGGTCACACCCTTCACACAGTGCTTGGCACCCAGGGCCTTGATGGCCTCTGCAGTCCCAGCGTAAGGCCACTTGCCGCCCTCTTCCTGCTCATGGCCCACAGTAACCTCAACACCTCTGAGCACTTTGGCTGCAAGGACAGGTGCAATGCAGCACAAGCTGTAAGGGGAGGAGGTACGTCAGCACTGGGACTCACATCATGGGCAACAGCAGGTGGCAGGAGCCTGGTGCTCGCCAGCTTCTCCCTCAGGCACCAGAAGTCGCAGCACTGGGGCAGCCAGGGGTGCAGCTGTGGCAGGCAGGTCCTCAGGTGAGCGACCACATGCTATGGAGGTCAGAGACCTCTGGTGGGGCCTGCATACGCCTGACTCAGAGGAGGGTGCTAAGTGACTGTCAGGGAGGACCTGCATTCACAGCTCTGGAGGTCACAGGGGCTGGGTGGCCTGCACCCCACTTCCTTCAGCCACGTGTCTGTACCCACTCTGCTCTGGCAGGGACTCTAGTGCCCCTGGGCAGACTCCAACACACAGGAAGCCGCACTACACCACTGCCAAGTGACTAGGTGCCACCTCACAGCTATGTAGCACCTTCCTGGGCATAAACAGAGTATCCTGGCCAGCACACAGACAGAGATGGACCCTTGATGCAGGCCAAGGCTATGTCTGCCCAGGCCGCCTTGGATCCAGCCTTGCTGCAGCAACACACTGAGGCTGAGAGGGATGGACCGGGACAGGATACTTCTGGAAGGGGCAAGAATCCCAAGCATCTTCTCTAGGGCAGGAGCACCCTCATCCTGTTCCATCCACATGACAAATGGTCACCAGAGCTGACACTGAGAGCTGAGAACACCTCAATGAAACAGCAGACAGCAGGGGTTTCCTAGGCCCCCAGCTCTGAGCAACAGCTGGGGCCTCCCTACCCCAGCCTGGTGGCTACATTACCCAATGGGCTTCCCAGCCTTGTGGAACTCCTTCAAGACTCGTGCCACATCCTCGTTGACTCTGCAGTCCTTCCCATCCACAGCGAATGTGCTCCTGCCAGCAGAGGAGAGGTTGCCTCAGCCCATTCTACTTTCATGTCTGCCCAGGGCTCCCCGACACTCCACCTCAGTGCCTTTGAACTGGCTCTGCTGACTCCCAGGGGACCTGAGTGGACATGTGTGCACAACCTTTCCCATAACCATGCTGTCACACGGTTTTCCAGATTACACCAGGGTTGGCAAAGGCAGGGGGGGACACCAGACCCAGGTTGGCCAGACTGGGACCATGGTGCCCTGCAGAGTCCGGGTGCAAGAGCCCTGGAAAACTTTTAGGAAAGGAAACGTGACCAGCCAACAAACAGCAAAAGGTGCTGGCTTTATCAACAATGAAAAAACCCTCTAGGTTCTCTATTTTGTTCTCAGATGTGAATCAAGAGCTGGGACAAGGGAGGGAGGTCTCTGCTGTTGTCAGCAGCGCAACCTTACAAAACTCTTCTCAGCTAACTGTACAAAAGCGTCCTGCCTGGCATATAGTTTCCTACTTTCTCATGCTGCTCCAGTTCTACTCCTGTTCTAGGACAGTCTCAGCACTTGTACAGAGCCTGGAAACCTTGGAGTGAAACCCAGTCCATCCTGAGGTGGCCAGAGCCAAGTGTCCAAACACACCAAGCTCCCAAGACCCCCAAGTGTGTAGGGCAAGCACACCTCCAAACTAAGTACAATCTAGACTGATGCTGGAATGCCACACAGCCACCAGAAGGGACCAGCTTGTCCCCCTGCAGGATCTGTGTGCCTGAGCAGCACCTGGGCCAGCTTTAAACTGGATTTCTCATGGAAGTCCATACACAATGGAGTGCTCAGGCTGTGTGATCACATTCTAGCCACACCCCACAAGACTGCCACGAGTGCGTGGAGCTGGAGCATGTCTGGGAGAAGGCTGGGCTCAGCAGCAGGGGCAGCTATACGCTCATACTAAGCCTCTCCTTGGATGCGTTCTCACAGGCTGTTACCAGCTGCCTGGTGCATGTGCTAAGTCCCAGCTGCTTGTTGTCCTTGGACTAACAGCGAAGAAAGCTCAGAGGAACTGCTGGTTTGGTGACCACATGGGTTCGGCTGGGGCCTTGCCTCAGTGGGCTGCCTCTTCCCTGGACACGTTGGGGAGAATGGGTGTGGCCACCAGGAACATAGCAGTGTGTCCATACACTTAAACACATGACTGTACTGAAATGCAGGCCTGCCTCCCTCAAAGTCCAACTGTCTAAGCAGACCGTACCATCAGCCACTCAGGCATCCACAGCTCCTGACGAGGCCACCACTGACCTTCTGTGCATCAGGCAGAGCACTGGATCAGAGAAGCACCTGAGAGCACAGCCAATCTTTCCAAGAAACCCTGGTCCTGTTGCAAGCAAAAATCTGCCAATGTCCCATCTCACCACGTCCCGACAGGATCACAACAGTGAGGAACAAGGAAAGGGCAGGAGCCATGCTGATTGGGAAATGGTGCCACAACAAAGGCCACAGTCTTGGGAAGGAGTCCTGATGCTGACGGGTAGGGCAATGAGGCTTCAGAATCAGGCAGGCACCCTTGGCTACACCTCAGAAAGCAAAGTCACTCTGTTGGATATAGGGAAGTGAGAAAATGGTGAACTTGTCACTGACCACAGGGCAAAGGATCAAAGCACCTTGCTGGGACCAGCTTGGGCTAGGACCAGGGAATGTGGACAGAGCTCCAGGACCTAGAGGAATCAGCATCCAGGGGCAGGCAGGGGAGGAGCCAGAGGGCAGGCGGCTGGAGCCCAGGGAAGTCCTGCTTGGGGCCTGACTTTAGGGTGCAGGAGAAAAGGGCATCTCCTGGATCAAGGCTCTATGGGGGCTGAGGATCAACACAGAGATGGAGGAGGGAGGCTAGGAGCCTCTGGCAGCAGAACTTAGGTCCTCTCCTTTAGGGCAGGGCTCATGGCCCTCACCTGCAATTAACAGGCATAGCTTGGGACTTGCAGGTACTGGCAATGCTTAATGGGGCTGACTCCTATGCCACAGCATGGAAAGCACCCCATCTTCCTGACTAGCGACAGCAAGACTGTTGGTGGACCTCCTGAATCCCGGACTCCAGAGCTCTAAGCTCTAGAGACTCCCATTGGATGGCCAGCCAGGGGCAGGCTCAGGGAAGGCTCTTGCTGGGAAGTGGCCATGCACTGCCACTCAGGCAGGAACAGGCTGAGGATGGCACCAAGATAACTCTCACAAAGGCCCAAGAAGGGAGAAAGGAACTACAGAGGTGAAAAGGGTTCCAGCCAAGGACCCTTAAGGGCCCAGGGTGCAGGTCAGTGCAGGTCAGCTCCCATGCCCACGAGAGCCACTTCCCACAGCAATGTACAGCAAGAGAGGCCCTTCCTGCTTGGGCCATCTGCAAGGCAAATCACTTACCAAAGGGCAGCTTCTCCTGCAACAGATTTTGTGCAGGAAGTGGCTGCTGTGAGGGACAGACTGACTTCCCAGGAACAGAGACCTGAATGGCTTCACACAGAGGACCCCACCCACCCCAATGTCTGTCAGGGACTAGGAGGGCTCAGAGAGGAGAAAGCAGAGAGCCGCCATTGCTGAGGCAGCCTCTGGCGCAAGCATAGTCCAGACCTGAAGCTTGCTTACGCACAGGTTTTTGGCAGCTCCGAAGCCTCCAGGGAAGATGGCTGCATCATGGTTGGCTGCGCTGAGCTGGGCCAGGCTGTTGATCTTGCCTCGGGCAATCCTTGCAGACTCGGTCAAAACATTCCTGGGAAGAGCACAGATGATGAAAGGATCAGTCACCTGCAGGGATAGCTCAGGCCCAGCGGAAGTGTGCTCACACATGGAGACCTAACAGACCCAACGCTTCCCAGACAGAACATGTGGCGGGGCCTGGCACCCTCGAGCCTAGGCTAGGCTCTGTCAGCCTAGCCCTCCAGGACCAACACCAAACTACTCAGAAATCAGGAGCCAACAGGAAAGAGGTCCCTGTGCATCCCTGGAGCAGGCAAAATTCAATGTAACCCATCAGGACAGGAGTTAGCAGATGCCAAGAAGCCACCACTCAGCAAAAACTAAGCCATGCCAGGACCATGCCAGGATGCTATGGCAACCGTGGCTATGGGACTTTGGGGGCCAGTGTTCTCAGAAGAGGAAGGGTAGGCAGGGTGCCTCTCCCCACCCCTCCCTGTCTGAACCCAGCTGGAAGGCACTTGGGGACACTCACAAAGGCTGTCCTCCACAGTGAGGGCAGAGGCCAGCGCCACACATGCCTTGGGACAGACATGCTGCTGGAACTGAAATGTGGAGCCCAAAAGGTAACCAAGGAGAACAAATCAAAAGTATTGCGAAATGGAGATGGTGGCTAAGTGTCTCTCCCTGCATGGTTAAGTCCAGTCTATAAGACACATCCAGAAACTGTCACACAGCCTGAACATGGACCTGCTCTGGTTCTCTGAAGGTTGTCCCTGGGTGTGGTCAATCACATGCATCTGAGGGATGTCAGGGGCAAAGATCTGGACCTCAGCTCCTCCACGGCTCAGGTGCACCAGGATCCTGTGTAGAAGGAAACCACACAGACAGCAGTTCAGAACATACCCGACTCACAGTGCACAGTGGAGTTGTTACAAAACAGGTTCTAGTTAAATGACAGGCACAGCGAACACCTATGTTCAGAACATCACTTGCTGACAAAAACACTTGCATCTCTATCTCACTGCCTGCTGCCAGCCAGGGCCAAATCACAAGAGCATGCTAGGTAGATGTGTGACCCTATGGCTTCCTGAACAATGGGGTACAGGGAGCACTGAGAGAACTGCTCATGTTGTCAGGGTGCTGCAGGCCCCCTGCCCTCACCAAGGCCCACAAGACCGCCTATAGCTGCCCAGGGGCTGGAGGAGGAACACCAGCAGTACACAGTGCTTTAACAGGGCACCATTAACTGTCCCTGACACAGGTAGGGAAACTGAGGAGAAAGGTAGTATCCTGCCCAAGATAACAGAGCCTGGCATTCATGATCTGGCCCTGGCCACCAGGAACCCCAAACACAGTACCCCCTCCCTCCCCCCACTGCCTGCAAGGTGCCCTTGCTCCAAACCCACAAAAGAAAGAGCATCCAGGTGCTGGACCCACTAGAGCAGCCCCCGAAGGCTTCCTGTGTCTGGAGCCACCTCCAGGCCCACACTGGCAACCATCCAGCAGCTGTCTGCAGAACCGCAGCCTCAGCGTGCACTGTGAGGACTGAAGTTCGATGCAGCAAATGAGTCCTCCCAACTCTGAGCCAGCTGAAGTAAGGCAATGGTGACTGCCTAGGCTTGTGAATGAGGCAAGGCACTAATCATAGAAGCACCTGAGAGCACAGCCAAGAAACCCTGGTCCTGCTGCAAGTGGGTTGTCTCCACTCCACTGATTGTGTTCAAGGCTTTTCTTTTCTTTATTTATTTATTTTTCGCCATAATTTTATTGAGAAACAAATAGCAATGAGACAGTCCCAAATCAAACTGGTAGGGCAGTTTCAATAATTAACACATTGCATACTCTCTTCCTAGTGGTTATTTGCTGTACAAGATGTAGACATGATATCCTATTTACAAACACTATTAGAACAAATCCCTCTATTCATTAAGAGAATGTAACTATATATCTATCCTAACCATTTTGAACACACAG